CTTTGATGTGCATATCACGTAGTGTTTCGCCTATATTTCCTTCTATGTATTTTATGGTTTCAGGTCTTATGTCTAGTTCTTTAATCCATTTTGAGTTGATTTTTGTGTATGGTGTGAGGTAGTGGTCAAGCTTCATTCTTTTGCATGTAGCGACCCAGTTTTCCCAGCACCATTTATTGAACAAACTTTCTTTGCTCCAATGCATAGTCTTTGCTCCTTTGTCAAAGATTAGTTGACCATAAATCTGTGGGTTTATTTCTGGATTTTCTATTCGATTCCATTGGTCTGTGTGTCTGTTCTTGTTCCAATACCATGCAGTTTTGATGATTATGGCTTTGTAGTATAGTTTGAAGTCTGGGAGTGTGATGCCTCCATTCCCTTCTTTTTTTTTCAGGAGAGCTTTGGCTATTTGGGGTTTTTGGTGATTCCATATGAATTTCATCAATAATTGTTCTATTTCTTTGAAGAATGACATTGAAATTTTGATTGGAATAGCATTGAATCTGTATATTGCTTTTGGTAGGATGGCCATTTTAATAATGTTTATTCTTCCAATCCATGAGCAGGGGATGTCTTTCCATTTCTTTGTGTCTTCTTCTATTTCTTTTAACAGTGTTTTATAGTTTTCTTTGTATAGGTCCTTTACCTCTTTTGTTAGATTTATTCCCAAGTATTTGATTTTTTTTTTGTTTCAATAATAAAAGGGATGGTTTTTTTAATTTCTTCTTCTTCAGATTTATTGTTTGTGTATAGGAAGGCTACTGACTTGTGTGTTGATTTTGTATCCTGTCACTTTACTGAACTGATTGATGAGTTGAATTAGTTTTTCTGTGGCATTTTTGGGGTTCTCTATGTATATTATCATATCATCTACAAATAGTGATAGTTTGACTTCTTCTTTTCCTATTTAGATTCCTTGTATGTCTTTCTCTTGTTTTATTGCTCTGGCCAGGACTTTAGTATTATATTGAAAAGCAGTGGTGAGAGTGGACATCCTTGTCTTGTTCCAGATCTTAATGGAAATGCTTTCAACTTTTCACCATTGAGAATGATACTGGCTGTTGGCTTGTCATAGATGGCCTTTATGATGTTGAGGTATGTTCCTTGTATCCCAAGAATTTCAAGGGCTTTTATCATGAATGGGTGTTGCACTTTGTCAAAAGCTTTCTCAGCATGTATTGATATGATAATATAGTTTTTATATTTCTTTTTGTTGATGTGTTGGATAACGTTGATTGATTTTCGGATGTTGAACCATCCTTGTGTCCCTGGCATGAATCCTACTTGGTCGTGGTGAATTATCTTATGGATACATTGTTGGATTCTGATAGCTAAAATTTTGTTGAGGATTTTTGCATCAGTGTTCATTAGGGAGATTGGCCTGTAGTTTTCCTTTTTTGTGTTGTCCTTGTTCAGTTTTGGTATTAGTGTAATGTTGGCTTCACAGAACGTGTTTGGTATTGTCCCTTCCTTCTCAATTTTTTGGAAGAGTTTGTGAAGGATAGGCACTAATTCGTCTCTGAATCTTTGGTAGAATTCATTTGTAAATCCATCAGGTCCTGAGTTTTTGTTTTTGGGGAGGTTTTTGATTACCATTTCAATTTCGCTGCTTGTAATTGGTCTGTTTAGGTGTTCTATTTCTTCTTTATCTAGCTTTGGGTGATTGTAGAGTTGTAGGAATTTGTCCATCTCCGCTAGATTGTTGAACTTGTTTCCATAAAACTGTTCATAGTAGTTACTGATTATTCTTTTGATTTCTGCTGTGTCCGTTGTGATTTCTCCTCCTTCATTGATGATCCTGTTTATTTGTGCTTTCTCCCTTTTTCCCTTTGTGAGCCTGGCTAGGGGTTTGTCTATTTTATTGATTTTTTTGAAGAACCAGCTCTTGGTTTCATTGATCTTTTGGATTGTTTTTTTAGTTTCAATTTCATTTATTTCTGCTTTGGTTTTTATTATTTCCTTTCTTCTACTGGTTTTGGGGTTTTTTTGTTGTTCTTTTTCTAGATCGTGGAGCTTCGAGATTAGGTTGTTTCTTTGAGTTCTTTCTTGTTTCTTGATGTGAGCCTCTATTGCTATGTATATTCCTCTTATTACTGCTCTTGCTGCATCCCATACATTTAGGAAATTGGTGTCCTCCTTGTCATTCAATTGAAAGAATTTTTTAATTTCTTCTTTGATCTCCTCATTAGTCCAGTGGTCTTCTAGTAGTGTGGTTTTCAATCTCCATGAGGTAGGAGAGTTCCTTATCTTCTTTTTATGGTTTATTTCTAGTTTGATGCCTTCATGGTCAGAAAAGATGGTTGGTATGATTTCAATCTTGGTGTATCTGTTGATGTTTGTCTTGGGTCCCAGTATGTGATCGATCCTGGAGAATGATCCGTGTGCGCTTGAGAAAAATGTGTACTCCGTTTTTTTTGGGTTTAGTGTTCTATAGATGTCTGTTAAGCCCAAGCGCTCTAGGTCCTTATTTAGAGCTTTAGTGTCTTTAATTGTTTTTTGTCTCGTTGATCTATCCATTGCTGTTAGTGGTGTATTGAAGTCTCCCACTACGTATGTGCACAAACTCATTCTTATTACTCAAAATTGAGAGCAAACTTCTGAGATTGCCTCCATTTTTAAAATAAGTGACTCAATCATTTCCCATTGTAGAATATCTACTTGTGACTACTGGGGAAACTGTACAGATGGTCCACCCATGAGTTATGATGGTTCAACTTATTTTTTTTTTACTTTACAATGGTGTCAAAACAATACATGTTCAGTAGAAACTGTACTTTGAATTTTGATCTTCTCACAAGTTAGCTACATGCTGTGTGATGGACTCTTGTGATACTTAGGCAGTGAGCTACAGCTCTGTCAGCTGTAAGACAGCAAGGGTAATCAACCTATACACTACAGACTGTTATTTACTTTTAATACAGTATTCAATAAATTACCTAAAATATTCAATACTTTAAGTAGGCTTTGGTTTGGATGACTTTGCCCACATATAGGCTAATCAAAGTGTTCTGAGCATGTTTAAAGTAGGCTATAGGCTATGCTCTATATATTGCAGGTTAAGTGTTTTAAATGCATTTTTGACTTAACAAGAATTTATCAGGACATAATCCCATCATAACTTGTAAATCTAGGAAGAGCTGTACTGAACCATCTAAGTCAAGTTAGGCTCATTATGATATTACTAAAGAATGAGAAAGCAGTTCTCTAGAGCCTATTTCCTAGTCACAGCAAATGAATTAATAGCCCTATGCTTCAAGAATTATCTAAAAATATTATCCCATTACATCCAGAAGTTGAGTATTCAAACCTGTCACAGGTAATTTATATAATTGGTGAGTATAAGCAATAAGACAACCAAATAGTCTACAAATTAACAAGTTTTCTTGTACCGCTGAAAAAAATGGAAATATTTATCAGAAATTTAGCAAGTTAAACTGTACAATCCTGAGAAAGACTATGCAGTGTTCCTTATTAGACCAAACAAGCCTGATGCACATGAGGATACTGGCATTAAATTTTCAAATCTATTTTATTGGAAACCAGTTTCCAATAAATGGCAATTAAAACAAACAAAAAAGAATTTAATTCTGAACTAATATAACTATCTTTTTCTCAAAAAAAAAAAAAAGGAAAATCTTTATCTTGTTTATAACTTTTTGTCTCAAGTTTTATTTGTAGTAGCCTACTGCTTTGTTATAAAAGAAAATTCAAAATCTACTTAATTTCTACCAGCTCAGGCATCTTATTTTCAGTATTGTATTCTATATAAAAAGAGCACAGAAAATTCTTATTGTATGCATACATCATAATTTCCTGCAAATATTTCTTTCATACATTGCACACATTATTTATATTCTTTATCTTGAAAGTACAGCAGACCCTTGAACAACTTGGGTATGAGAATACACAACCTCTTGAAATAAAAAATCTGCATACGACTTTTAACTCCCCCTAAAATTAATTACAGTTGTCACTTGATATTTATGGGGACTAGTTTCAGGACTCCCATGGACAACCAAATCCACAGATATTTACATCCCTTAATAGTTGCCATCAGTAGTCTCAGGTAATTCATCTGCAGATTCAACAAACCAACACCCACTGTTGCTTGAATTTGTGAATACAAACCCTCAGACATGCAAGGTTAACTCTATTTATTGAAAAAAGAAAATCGAAGTACAAGCAGATTTAGCACATTCCAAACCACTGCTGTTCAAGAGTCAAATGTAATGTAAACTGGCAGATTATATTTTCCAAAGATGATTACAACAGTAGATTCCATCCTATAAGGTGTTCATGTAAGGTGAAATTCATACTCCTCCCTTCAAATGCTGAAGTCTATGGTCACTCCCTCATCTAAATCTTAATGATTACCTCAACCAAATAGAGGAGAGCAGAGTAACACTACTGACTTAAAAAACTAAGTTAAATATGCTATGCACCTTTACCTTGCTCTCTTGAGATGCTTTCTCTTGGCACATAGCCACCGTGCTATAAGGAAGTAGACAGTCATAAGGAGAGGTCATGTGTTGGTGTTCTGGCAGACAGCCCAGGCTGCGGTTCCCACCAATAGCCAGCATTAACCACCAGACAGAGTGATCAAGACTTCACTGATTCCAGCTCCTAGCCACCCCATCTCATACCACAAGTTAACAGAGACTAGCTATCCCCACCAAGCAAACCTTGCATAAAGGTTAGATACATGTGCAAAATGAATGATTGGCATATTTTAATCCACTAAGAAGCACAATTTGGAAAATGCACAAAAGAGAAGAAAAATTTTTGGTTACCCTAAGTTTCACCACTGTTAACATTTTGACACATATTTTACAATAAAAAATAAATTGTTTTGCCCTACCCACCTAAGATTCCAAATGCTTTGTTTTTACCAGGATGAAGGGTTAGATATTTAAAGGCAGTCCACTGTTTGCATATAAGAACTAGGAAAAAAGACATTAACATTCCTTCTACTTTTCTTATCCTTACTCTTTTTTACTTACCTGTCTTTAAGTGAGGTGTCTGAGGATGGCTGGTCCACCAAAATTTCAATTTATGGATGTGAACCAAGATCTTGGTTTGCAGTATCAGTTGCACTGGTCTTCTTCCCTATAAGTTGTTGAAGCCTCAAATCTGGAATTTTCAAGAAAAGAAAATGCTAAATATAGACAGCCTTTCAATTACTTATAATTCCATCTCTATAATTGAGTGGAAGCTGACAGAGTGTGTTAAAATTTTATGGAAGTAAATGTACAGGTTTCACTGAAAATGGAGTTGGGTAATGTGAATTCAAGCCCCGACTCTTTCTGATCACGTGATGAAATTAATGGGTCAGCATCAAAATTTTGGCTGTAGAGTCAGATATAGGTTCTAAACTCAGTATTCTGTATTGTTATAAGAACTTTGATACTTCTCTGGACTCAGACACATCTCTAAATGGTGAGGATTACATTAGATAATGGTTCCTGAAATCTAATCCCTGAACAGGTGCTAAGCTATGACCAAAAAATGGGTGTAAAATTACCAGTTGTGCTTACTATAAGACTATCATTCTTCATTATTTCTTTTTTTAATGTTTTCTTACATCTTTGTTAATTTTTTGATAGTTTTTTATTTTTCCCCTCCAGTGTAGCCCCTGTAATTATCCCACTACCATAGCACCCCACATTCTTACTTTTTTGGAGTTAAACTGGCTTCTGTTATGAAGTGACATAAAATAACAGTTGCTGAGTTTTTTTAAATAACCTAAGGAGTCAAAGTAAAAAGCTGTAACTGTAAATTTCTAAAATTCTTTTTGGAAATTCCACTGTATTATTTACATGAGCTCTAAAATTCCTTCTATCTTAACATTCTATGTATTCATTCACTACTCAGTATTTACTGAGTATGTACCTAATATGTGATGGGTACTCTACTGGTTTCTAGAGGTGCCCAAAATAAGTGAGATTAGGCCCTACTCTAAAAGAGCTCCCAATCAAATAAGGAAGAAAAAAAAAACATAAAACTCAAATACAATCTAATGGGCTAGGGTTTCTAATAGAGGTTTTTGCACTCTATGACAGTTAGGATAGTAGAATGAGTTTTAAAATTAGTAGATAGGCCTCCCGGGTGGGTGCAGGGGTTAAAGACAGCGCTATCAAACTACTGCCAGCCACTATAGCACAAGTATAATCCCCAGCTGGCCAGAGAGCAACCCACATGGTGCAGCAGACCTCTCCTCTCTCGACAGCTGCTCCCCTCAGCAGTGTATTTCAGTAGATCTGCCTGTTCTCCTCCCACTCTCTCTGGTGAATATCCTTACCACCCACACCTCTAGCTTACACCACAGGTCTTGTATGCATAAATAAATAAATCTTTAAAAAAATAAAATCAGTAGATTTTGGGGTGAATTTTACAGTTGTATCAGAAGTAACTTAATCTGAGCCTTTATTTCCTTAAATGCAAAACAGGAATAATTATAGAGATCACAGAGTTGTGGTAAACAGGTAAGATGTGAAAAATAAAGAACCAATCCAACAAGAAGCCTGGCTTTTACACCTTCCAGAAAGCAAATAAAAAATTTATCATACATTCATAATCTGGCACAAAAGAAGTTATGCACCACACTGATTTATACTCAGTGGTGCCTGTTAAGCAACTGAAGGCACAAGCAAGTTTGTTGCATCTGATATCTTTTTTTTTTTTTTCCAAAGATTTATTTATTTATTTATACAAGCACTGGGTACAGTCAGAAGTGTGGGAGGGTGAGAGAACTCACCAGAGCCAGAGTGGGGAACAGAGCATGCAGACTGACGAAATACACTGCTGAGGGGAGCAGCAGGCGGCAGGAGAGGTCTGCACGCCAAGTGGGACCCTCGCCGGGGGCTGCGGATGGAACTGGTGCTGCAGAGACTGCGGGCAGCTTCGCAACCCAGCACTCAACCACTGTGCCACTGGGGAGGCCCGCATCTGATCTCTTTAATGAAAGTATCAGATAGCAACAGTTTATTAGAAAATAATGATTGAATGAATGAATGAATGGCTTCTTTATTTTAAGAGGAATTAAAATTGTAGCTGCTGAAAGTAGAAATTCTTAAGATTCTTATTTAAATTTAATTTTAAGTATATATTTTAAGTGCCCAAATCTGTCATAGTGGAAACTAGATGCACAGGCTTATTTTAAAAAGCAAAATGAATCTACCATAGCCAATGCAAAAGTGGTGTTTCTATGTAAGAAGTTTAGTAGCAGCTAACAGACTCCAATTTGCTAAAAACTCAGATTCTAAGAACTATGCACAGATTATCTCACTTAATCCTGACAATAGCCCTTATGAAGTGGACTATTAATATCATTTTGTAAGTAGGAAAACTGAGGTACAAAGAAATCCAGTTACTTCCAACATCACAAAATATATCACAAAATAAGCAGTGGGGTTGAGCTTATAAAAAAATCAGGTTGTTTAACTCTAGAGTTCTCTTTTTTATTTTTATTTAACTAAATATCTTGCAAAGAAAAACAAAAAGATTTTACCAAAACAAGAACATTTGCTCCTAATGATTCCATTTTTTTTAAATAGGACAGAGTCCTTCAATATTTAAGCAAAACAGAAATATGTAATTACATTATATAGTCCTTGTCCTCAAAGGCCCCACTCACCATGTGGTGGTATAATATTAATAAATCACACCTGGATTTTACTGTTTTAAATTTAACTGTCAATGTTAGGTTTATTTGTAATTTCCTTTTTATTTACTCCTTAATTCCAGGTATTACTACCTTGAATTTTCAGGACATATAGAGAAGGCTTATATGGACCAAAAGGAAAAATGAGTTAACAAATGGAAGACATTAAAAATTATTTTTGTATGGACATTTAGTTTCAGATAATACATTTTAAAAAAGAACACACATACACAACAGTAAGAACAGCTGAATTTCATTTCCAATAGATGCGCTAACAAAACAATTTCAGATGCAATTTGCAAATATATTTTTAGCCAACAATGTGTTTCATTTCACTTCTTTATTGGCCTGATTCTAGAACAGACAGAAATGCTTTTGATGCTTTCAGTTTTAACAACTGTATTAAAAGAGAAAGAAATATCAAAAAAACCCAAAAACTAAAACCCCCACAGAAATAACAATAAATGTAGCAAATGCTTTTTCAAATGCCAGAAATACCACTAGATGTTAATAGTAAAACACTTGAAACTTATTTGATCAAAATGAACAGTGAAGCAACCAATAAAGCAACATTTAAATTTCGTTCAAAGATTACATTTCACATCTTTCTGCATCTGTAATAGGTCGATAAACTAAAAGTCTCCTTATTCTCTTGAAATTATTTTCAAGAAAACTAATACTCCAATGACACTAAACAGGGAGCCATAATAAAGTATGGGTGTTAGTAGTAGTATCTCAATATTTTCAGACAGTAGCAGATTAAGTGCTATATTAAACAGATTTTTAAGATAGTACAAGAAAAAAATCTAGATTTCCAAAAGCACAACTGGAAACATTAGCATTGTGAATTTACAGAGCTAAATAAAAGGCTGCTTACTCAAAGATGTGACATGTCAAAAAAAATTCCCTATGGATAAACATTCATTGCCCACTGGACATTTCACATCACCTATGAGATTAAGTAAGAGTCCTGCTAATTTTATGAAGATAAATGAACACCCGGGTGATTTACGCTCTAGACAGCTGCCACTACATAAGGACAACTTATGCACAATATTTAAACTTTATTCAGGCCTGGAAAACAAAGAACTTTGGCATATTTTCCACATAGCACAAGCCTACTGGGAAAAAAATGTATTATCTATTTTTAAAAAAACAGCATTTTTTTTTTACCTTTTTTTTCCTTTCAGAATCACTATGACACTTAGAATAAGTATAGAGAAATCTTCTCAATACAAATGACGTTCTCATCATACCTGAAAATCTTTGTCACCTTCTAGATCTTTTCAAAGGATTTAGACCCATGCACTATCTAATCTCAGTTATGGATGTCATTCAAAAAAACAGCTGTTCATTACCTCCGTAATATTTCCTCTTACTATGTGAATGTTAGCCACTCACATAAATTTACTTCACCAAAGTCAAGAGAGATGAGCCGCACACAACTCCAAACCTGTGCTGCATGGCTCCAAACTATTCTTCTTAAAATGGTAGCAAGCTATGTTTCTGCCCTCCCCCCCACTTAATTATATATTAATGTCTTGCTACTCAAATTATGGCTCACAAACCTGTAGCATAGGCATCACCTAAAAGCTTGTTAGAAATGCAGAATCTCGGGCCCTAACCTAAATCTACTGAATTAGTACCTATATTTTAATTAAGACTTTCAGGTAATTCATACTCATAGAAATTTTTGAGGCAGTGTTCTAGTTCACTCATTCAGGGTCACTTCCTTCTGCTTTATACCTCCTCATTTCCTTCTTAGCATTACTAGAAAATGATCCTTTCTTTTCTTTCTTTTTTAAAGTATATTAAGACCCACCAAAATGAAGTGAGAAGTTTTTAAATAAAATTAGTTTCTTTACAACCTTTATTTCATAAAAGATTGTAAACTCCACAAAGTCAGAGACTTCATTGTATATAAGTATTCTACCTAAGGAGAGGGATAATAATATGAAATCACCTAAATTTATTTATTATTTATTTATTTATTAAGAGTTATTTATTTATACAAGCACTGGAGTACAGGCGTGGGAGGATGAGAGAATTCACCAGACAGAGCAGGGAGCAGAACAGGCAGAAGGACCGAAGTACACTGCTGAGGGGAGCAGCGGGCGGCAGGAGAGGTCTGCCTTACCATGTGGGAATCTCCCTGGCCCGCCAGGAATCGAACCCATGCTGCAGAAGCTGCAGACAACTTCACAGTGCTGCGCTCAACCTGCTGCGCCACCGGAAAGGCCCTCATCTAAATTTATATAAATGGCTTGATCAAGGTAACAAGGCAGGTTCACAATTAAGTTCACAAAAAGCTCAACATTTTTCTCATATCATTATTTCATTATCACATCAAGTCAAATATCTACATTGAAAAAGACATTATGAAGAAAAGGTATGAGACAAATGAAAAATTTTGAAAATATTTGCAATACAAAGCAAAGATTTAATATCCTTGGTATATAAGGAGCTCTTA